AACTGTAATAATGAACCTTTGAAATATAAATTAAATGTAGAGAGCGCATGAGTCACAGCGCACGGACGCAGCGGTATAAACAGCAGAAGCTCCGGTAAGGATTCTTATTGTGTGTGTGAACAAGCGAAGACACACACAGAACATTTAGTTCTAGTTTCTATTATTCATATCTGAATATAACAACCCAATAAATACTACAGAGGAAACGGAAACACTGAAAATATGAGCGTCGGCAAAAATCCCTCATCATGAAATGAAAGCTTTATCGTTTTCTGAGGTCAGAATGATTATATATTATAGGTCTATATATGTTGATACAAAGCTAGGCTACTGCCTGACTCACTGCTGCCGTTTTCCTCAGAGTCTGAGAAAGTAACACACGTTGGGGATAATTAAGCTCCGTGTTTTGTTATGAAGCCGGCCTTCAGGAAGCTGCGCTCTGATGGTGTGGACATGGAGCAGACTTTTTGCCGTCGTAGTTTGCCTTTACTCGCTCAGAAAGATCCACACTTTGGATTTCCTGCCCGACCAAATTAAGTTAATGACCAGGCTCCGCTCTGAATGAAGTCTGAGGGTTTCCGGCTGACGCGTCATAGCACATGCAGCACACGGATGGTGCATGTCTTTTAAAAAAATATATAATTATTTTTTCTTTATATAATTTCTTTTTTGTCAACTAATCGACTAATGAAAAATTGCTCGATTAAGACTTTATTAGTCGACTAGTGATTATTCGACTATTAGGGGGCAGCCCTAATATAAAGGAATACTTATCTATCTTTCAACTATCTTAAAGGGTAAAATGTTGAAACAAAGGGTTAACATTTTTACTTTAGGTGTTTTAAAGATAAAGGGCTTAATAAAATGAACTTCCAGAATTCCCCAATTTGGAATCATTAATACAAATCTAATTTAAAGAGCAAAAAGGTAAATTGCAACATAAAAAGTTTAGTTTAAGTGTTGAAAGTTGAATTAGATATGTGGGATTGATGGGTTCACTAAAGTACATATCTACTTAAAAGGTTTTTAAGTTGAGTAGAAGGTTAAAGTGCTTTAACCAGTAGATTTAACCGGAAACACGTGGAGTTAAAGGGTTAAAGTTGATTAAAAAGTTGATAATTGAATATAAGTGTTGCAATCCTGCTGACATTGCAGTGTGAACACGCTGTGACGACCCCTGCTTATATAAATCCTGTCAGCCTCACACGTGGCGCTCTGAAGCGGTCAACAGGTGCCAACATGTGACCGTAACACGAGACACGCGTGTAACATGGTGCAACACGGTGCAGCGCTCTGAACACTTTGTCCTCCCGCAGGCCGCCTCGGGCTCCGAGGGCGACCCCGTGTCCCATCGCAAGAAGAAGAGACGCACCTGCGGCACCGTGGCCAACGGAGACACCAGCAGCAAGGACGACTGCGTCAGCAAGGAGAGGAGCTCATCGCGGTGACCTCCGACCTCTGTCACACACACACATACAGAAAAAGCTGCTCCCTTTCTGGTTTTAGGTCTGAAGCGAGGAGACCTGTCACCACTGTGCTTTCAATCAATGTTTGTGTCTGTACAGAGAGATTATCTGCAGTAAACACTCCGGGGAAGGTTAGGAGCGTGACACACGGTTTTAAAAGTCTCCCAGCTGCTCTCTCATGTGAGAAATAAAGGGACGAGAACATTTCTGTAACTGTAAAACATGACATCCATCCACCAGAGGAGAGAAAACACACTTCCTTTAAGAAAAATAAATATCAACATTTCTGAAGTGTTTGATAATCAATAGTTATGTGGATTTGAGGCAAATAATGATTGGTAAATTCAGAAATGTTAATCTAAATAAAATAATTCAGCTTTATAACAATGAAAAGACCCCACTTATATTACAATATCCAAAATATAAAACAATATCTAGTCTCATATCACATTATCGATATTTTGCCAAGCCCTCTTATGGACCACCTTCACAAACAGACACATTTCTGTACACCATATTAAAGGCCAACTGTAACCTGGACTCTATTTCCCCGTGTTTAGGTGAGTTACGGGGACAGTTTTGGGGACAGAATTGAGTGGGAGCGCTGCAGCTGCTAAACGCGCAAACCTTTATCAATGAATATCCTCTAAAGCTGCATTTCTCCCGCACGGTACGGCTTCACTCACAGAACTTCCTTTTCACTTGAAGATTGTACATCCTTAGTGAAGGCATGTTTGCCGGCTGCATTAAAAAAAATTACCTGTTTGTTACCTGTGATGCACTAACGACGGTTCTCTCGGACCAATCGGTGGTCTGCGGAATTTTTTACTTCACTATTTAGAGAAAACATACAAATAAGTCTAGTGAGTCGTTCCATGCAGTGGAAATGGTTCTTTAATGCGTTGGTTTTACCCCCCGACACGCTCATATTGTTACTATACATGTCTAATATCATTATGAAAAGGAGCCTACAAAAAATGTAACTTTTTCTTTTGACTTGATCCACTCAAGTAAAAAAAACTCGTAAAATTACGTGAGATTCAGAACAAGACTGTTCCTTGAGAAATTAGGGTCCATTTTGAAAATCCTAGAGAATATTGTGATATGAGAAGCTGAGTTTGGCTGTTAGCCAATCACGTTATCACTGGGAAACTAGAGACTCGCTCAAGCAAAACAAAAAGAAAGCACTCTTCTAAATGTTGTTTCTGCGTATAACTGCTGGTTTTTCCTTAAAATGGTTGGAGGTTGTGTCGCTCCTCTACCCGCCTTGGTGATTAACCTTCACATTGAGAATTGAAAGTGTGATTCAGTCAGCCAGCCTTAAAGAAATGAAACGTTTAAAGGAAATGTGCGCATGTAAGAATGGTTAATTCTGTATGAAATACAGGAGAGAAACGGCTAACTGAAAACGTTTCTGCCATTTTCATGTTCTGCCTGCTTTGTGCCAAAATGCTGCAGATGGGAGAAACTGTCGCTAAATGTTGAGGCTAAACGTTTTTATGCAGTCGCAAAAAAAAATCAGCAGAGCACTACGTTAACCAGAATGCACTGCTGTGTTTTGTTTTAGTTTATCAATCAGTTTGTGCATCTTGTTAAATAACGAATAGAAGAAGAAGCTAACTAATTGATGATGCAGATTCAACACCACATCCAATATCAACAAATACATAATTAGATTGATTAACTGTCGATTAGAGCTGAAACGTTAGTCAACAGACATCAAATTAATTAGCAGCGATCAATTAATTGCTTTGGATTATTCTAAGGCAAATATGGCAGAACACATCTCGGTCTGCTTCTAAAATGGGACTATTTATCGATTTCCTTCTCTTCTATGATGGTAAACTGAATCTCTTAGTTGAGGACTACAAACGAGACATTTAAGATGTCACCTGGACCTCTTGGAACACATTTATTTTTACAACTGCTGCCTTTCTACAGACCAGTGTATCCCATTCAAATACCAGTAATACTTTAAATGTAAATGAAACCTGCAGTAACCAAGAGATGCACAGGATTATTGGCTCAGATCATTCATAAAAATAGCAGTAATGATGTGGGGAAACCTCCACATAGCAGCAAATCAACACATAAACAAGATTATATATAAAACCATCAGCTTTGAAAGCCAATACCTGCTGAGATTGAGTTCATCAAAAGTCATTATTATGTAAGAAGCAAGCAGAGAAGGTTAAATAGTTTACTGAAAGTGTTTATGAATTGTTTCAACATGCATGTTCTGTCACCTAAACTAAAGCCACGGGGGAAAAAAGAAACACAGTCTAAACATGAAGAATTCCTGTTTTGTTTCAAAGAAGTCTATCAAAAATACTGCCCACTTTTATATGATTAATAATGTTAAATAACGTGCAGTTCAAATCCGTTTCACACAACATGTAGGAAAGACTAAGCAAGCCACATACGATCGAGAAAAAAAGCAGCCGATTAATACAAAATACTGAAAATAGTCAGGTTGCAGAATTATGTAAAGAAAACATCTTGATTTGTTATATTAAACATCAGAAAACAGTTAACGTCTTTAAATGTCTTTTGCGCAACACCCAAACATTCAGTTTACTGAGATTTGAACAGTTTTTTGCTTGAAAAATGACTTGGTTTTCTGACCAGTTTCTGATTGAAAAAATCTCTTGATCCACGCCTGGAATCTACGCTTGAGGGAAATGTTTGAAGTTTTTCTACGAATCCTTTAAAAAGAGCTGTACAATGTTGCTGTAGACTAAAGTGCCTCTAAAGAAAGTTTGTAAGTTTGACTGTCTGTCTGTCTGTCTGTTGGGAGGTTTCTGTTTTTTATTTGTTTTTAAACTAATGTGAATGCACCGTGTTGGTCCCTGAGGTCGCTCGCATGGTGCCTTTAGGTTCTCTGAATCCTGTCTGAAATGTTAATAAAGTAAATCTGAGGAGCTCAGACAGACCTTGTGGTGATAAATGTAATTTCTTTTGTCAATAAACTCTTTTCTATGACTCGAAACTTGTTTGTCTGAGCATTTTTTTTAATGTATTTAACTTACCACTTTTCAAAGTATTTTTCATGACCTACATTTTGGTAAGGATGTCAGTTTTCTTTATTTAAAAATTTCATCTCATACGAAGTGTATCCTAAAAACTGAAAAAATACACAAATTAAAAGTTTAATTTGTGCTGTAAAAATATTGTAATACACATTATTTCAGTATAATATTTTTACATTTTTACTTTTATATACATATGAAGATAAATAAATATATAAGAAAATTAAACAAATATTATTTGTGTTTATTTATTTATTGTCATTTCGTTTTTAATATTTATTTGCACATTGCGTCTTCATCTATTTTTATTTTTTTTCACAGATTTTGTCCTCCATACTCATTAAGGTCTAGAGTAGACTCTAGTCTAGATGCTGTTTATATTCTGGCAGGTAACATCGCTCAAAACCAGACTTTTATTCTGAAGTGGCAAAACATTATCCTTTAGGCTTTTATTTTGAAACACCCCCTCCTTGAGTGGTCAGCTGTTGAGGGTAGATTGTGTTTGGAGGCGGGATGCAGCTCAGTGTGTGTGTGACTGCAGCCTGGTTAGCACACCGAACTCACGTTTGTAACTTTTTCTCTTTAATATTTCTTTCGTAAATCCTCCATCATGGACCTGGACCCGGCCATCATCATCCCCGCACTCCTTTTCACCGCAGTCGCCATTTATTTCGCTTCATCGTATCTGAACAAGAAGCCCGACGCCTCCGCAGTCGCTAAGAAGAAGCCCAAAGTCGGCTACGGAGACGACATCCCTCCGTCCAGAGCCCTGGGACAACCGACCAGATCCGAGCCTGCTCCGGTCAAAGTGAAGGTAAGATGGTTTCACTCTTTTGGTGTTTAAAATAACCAATCATCCCATGGTTAAAGTTAACAGAAACTTGCTTTTTTTTTTTCATAAAAAATATTAAGTATCAATTATTTTACTTAAAAGAACGTTATTCATCCAGACATTTTTGCAAAGTATACATATCAAGTCAAATATAGGCTTGGAAACATGTACAAAGTGAAATAAAAAAATAAGCATTTTTATATTTTTATAAATAAATGTATTTGCTATACATAACAATGGGGCATGACCTTTACATAACTTAAAGGTTTTGCTGACTATACATATTGGTAAAATATCATTAATAACATATTTTTTAACTGTTTTTTAGCATTAATTAGATAAAACAACAGGCCTATATATAGAAATTTGTAATGTATTTGAATGTACAAAAAAAGGAAATTGACATTACAAAAGGTGTAGATTCCTTACTTTTTGATGACTTGCAGTAGAAATGCAAATATAATGAGTATGCATTGACATTGGAGAGGAATTCAGCATTTTGGTTGAACTCAAATAAATTAACTGATCAATCCATATTTGGAAAAATGTGTTAACAATACTCAGCTATGATGTTCCAGGTGATATAATAAAGAAAGAAATGTTACATTAAGCCTTAGTTTTCATATGATTGTGCAGGTTAGTTTGACAAATCAATTGTTAAGTTACCGTGTAACTTAAAGGTAGGGTAGGTAAGTTTGAGAAACCGGCTCGAGATCGCTAGAATTTGAAAATACACAACCGGAGAAAATCTGCCACTTCCTTATAGAGCCCCTCCTCCAACACACACGAACGCGCACATGACCAATGAGGGCACGAGATAAGTTTGTGCACAGATGGAAGGCTGACAGGCAGGTAGGCCATCCAGTTATTTTAGCCGGGCCGGCTAAAATGATTGGTCGTACTTTTTACAGTATTACGGCTTCCACAGATGACATTTCTTTATGGATTTTTTGTCAAAGCACTTAAGATATTCATTGCTATCGGGATGTTAAGAGCATTCCATGGAATATAACAAAAAGTGTATCTCGAGCTGGTTTCTCAAACTTACCTACCCTACCTTTAAGTAATGAGTAACACCACCTAGACACGCCCCCTCCTTTACACTGGGAAGAAGAAATACAAACATTAAAAAACAGGGAACAAAGGGATAAGATTACATAGGAAAAAGAAAAAAAAGAAAGCAAAGATAAATTACGAGATTTAATAATTAAATGCGTTAACTCTTCCATATTGTAGGACAAAAGGTACATATTAAATAACTAATTTTTTAGTAATGCTTTTGGTTCACACTGCAAATATACTGCACATACAGTAACAACATCAAAATACTGCTGTGCACTGTGCACTAACCAACTACGGGATGCATTGTGATGAAATTAGTGTTTCCTCTGACTTTTATTCTGATATAAACTGATTAATCTAAAGATTCGTTTTTTGGAAAAACGTTTGTTCCAAGGTGTTGTCTCTAATGTCTTTTGTTCTTAGTCCACAACCCAGAGAGAGGCTAAAAACTCAATTAAAGACTTTCCTGCAGGAAACCGTTTTCAAAATAATTTATCGGTTATTTTTCTATAGACATATCCATGAGCCCAGTGTTGTAGTCAAGTCACCAATTCACGAGTCCAAGTCACTCTCGAGTCACCACTCTTCGAGTCCGAGTCCAAGTCCGAGTCACCTAGGGAGAGTCGTAGTCGAGTCCGAGTCCAAGTCCAAGTCCGACTCCGACTCGGAGTCCAAGTCCGAGTCACTCAAGGAGTGTCCGATTCGAGTCCGAGTCGAGTCCGAGTCATCATTACCTGTGTTCAAGTCCGAGTCCAAGTCCGAGTCACCCAAGAAGAGTCCGAGTCACAAGTCTTCATGTGTTAATCTTCGTGGATATATTTGTTGAAATGTAGCTGCTCCTCTACATTGCTTTTATCCTGTCATGTTATACTAATGTGTCTATTGAACTGCTGTGAAGCCAGTTTGGCTACAATTCTTGTAATAGGTGTTATACAAATATAAAGCTTATTACTAATATTAATATTATTATTGTAAATGACCTTTAATATTTCTAACTATATTTAAAATGAGTTACCTTTTAGTGAAGTGATTACATTTGTATGCCAATATTTTCTTATGGTAAAGTTTTCATTTTGCACTTTTATTTTGATTGTAATAAGATCGGGACTCTTATTTTGAAGGAACTTTTACCGAAAGTCAATGGACAACGGAGCAGTGTAAACACACATGTATAATGACGGATAGATGACGAATAAATTAACATATACTAAATAGTTGCATTCGGTTTTTAGCATCTGGTTGATAAGGGCACAAGCTCTTACGTTGGTAATGATTGTATACAAGCAAGGGTGTGCAATAAACAGATACCATCAGTTGGAGAGTCTGACCATCATTCAGCCGGGGACACTACAATTATTATAGTGAATGTTTAAATTCTATCAATAAAGATTAAGCCCCAGAAAGCACATGGCTACTTAGCATGCAAAATGGACATTCTGCATGTTAAGTAGCCATGTGCTTTCGTGTTATCGGCTGAATCTTTATTTATTGATTAGATCACATTACTCGGATGATAGTGTTCAAGACAGCCTATATATCTGAACTCGATCCTTAGAGTAATGTGTTACAGAGCCTTCTCTTCAATCTTTTTTCCACATAACGAGCATTTTGTGCTGCTCTTTTCCAATGTGGAAGCAGAATGTGTGAAAGCATACAGCACGATGCGGGGTGTGTCTCTAGACATCTCTAGACTGGAATAGCGGGGCCCAGTACGTGAACTCGCCTCGCAGGTGCACACGCCAGGATAGAGGACATCAGACTCCAGAGAAAACTTGCTCGAGTCCAAGTCGGAGCGTCAATGTACAAGTCGAGTCCGAGTCATCGCGGGGGGGAAAATTCACGAGTCCGAGTCCAAGTCATCGTACGCGAGAATTCACGAGTCCGAGTCCAAGTCATCGTGCGCGAGAATTCACGAGTCCAAGTCCGAGTCGCCTCAATCAGTGCGCGAGGTCGAGTCACGAGTCCCGAAAATCAGCACTCGAGTCCGAGTCCAGGACTCGAGTACTCCCTCTCTGCATGAGCCAAATACTTTTTGCAGCTCTAATCATCAAGTCTACATTTGAATGAGACAATTTCTTTGGATAATGAGCAAAGTCCTAAAGAACTAATGACTTTACGTGCAATATTTATTAGCTAATGTTAGCATGCTAACATGGATAACCTTATTTTTGCTAAACATTAGCATGTTAGCATTGTATTGTCAGACAGTGGAAAGCACCACTAATGCTAACAGAGATAACGCTATAAACAGGTTTGCTTTCCAACAGTATTAAAATAAAAACGATAAAGCCGAATAATATTCAAGTTATTTGAAGGACTTAACCGCCAGACCAATCTCTGGTTCAAACTTCTGCAATGTTAGATATTATTTTCATTATATACTAGCCATATTTGGGACATTTAATACTTGATTACTGATTAATATTTACGTTTTCCATTTTATTTTTTAAAGTTTATCAAGAAAAGTAATTATTCCAAAAAAGAAGATAGTTATTCGTGGCTGTTATATTTTACTCTGTATAGCATTTCTATCGAATTTATCATTTTGAACTTGTTAGCATAAGTTGAATTGCAACAAAAAAAAACACACATATATATATATAAACGTTATTGATTAATTGACATATCATTTCCACTATGAAAGCTTAGGAAAAAAATTGAGCTTTTCTGTTTAGTTTTTTGCTTGAATATATACAATTATTGACAATAAGCTGTATTTTCATGTTAAATCATCCTGTCTAACTATATTTCTCAAACCGGTTTATGTTTGGCAGCATTTGCGGGACACGTGAGACGATAAAAACACTGTTATTATGCCAAAACTTGCCCTGTGTGTGCAGCGGCTCTTCATTGTTAACTCATCCCGAAATCGATTGAGGAAGTTCTTTGAAATTTGCATCCTCAGGTCGAAGCTTGTCTCTCTAGTCGTAAATGTTGGCCTCTTTATGGTTGATGATGCCCAAATAAAGTCATCTTCTTTTTTCTTCATGCAGCAGTTGATGACTAGATTTGCTTGTGCACACAGTGGCATACTTTATGTTTTGTGCTCCTGATGTTAAAATGCAAATCAGTTTCATATGGCAGCAGTAGAAGAACACAGTAAGTCTGCAGACGTTGTTTGACCTTTAAAATGCCTGAGGAATGTGCCCACCGCTGCTGTAACATGCGATAGACTGGGCGTCTATATTTGGGGGCAACATGAAGGCTAAATTGGGCATGACGCCTTCACATGGCTTCATGTGATGTTTGACACATGGGTAATTTCATCCGGCTGATTCAGGCTGAACACACAGTGTTAAACTCCTGTGTGAATATGTTATGTCTAGGGCTCTCGTAATGAGGTTTGCTGTTTTGGTTTGGACACAGAGCCTCTGTGTTGTTGTTTTATAATTCTCATCAACCTGTTACGCACAACAAGATTGGTTAAATTCTTAATATGCGGCGTGAAAGTTCTCCACACAAAATGACTACACAAGGAGGGTAAACAACTTAAAAGAGACACATAACGAATACAGAGAAAAAAACAAAATGACTTCACAGAAGCACGATAAAAAAGGCACACAAAATGACAATAAGAAATACAAAACAACTTCAAGGCAAACATACATTTCTAAAAGAGACACCAAACAACTACAAAAAGACAAAAGACAACAAAATGATGCAAAACAACAGAGACACAAACTAAGCACAGAGAAAAAACAACTACAAAGATACATAAAACAAATACAGAATAAAAATACAATTACTTCAAACAGACACTCAACAACAAAGACACATTACATTAAAAACAAAATCACTACAAGGAGGGCCATAACATACTTCAAAGAGACACCAAACAATTCCACAAAGAGAGTTGGCAACCACAAAGAGTCAAAGAGGCTACAAAGAGTCACAATGCAACAACACAGAAAGACACAGAA